ACTTAAACAATAATTTCTAATTTAATAATTAAGATAATTATGTAAATTATTTTTTAATATTTTTATATTTTATTTACATTGTTAATAATATTTTGAATAATTAACATTTATTGGCATAAAAAATTAATATCTTTTTTAAAATACAAATCAGTATTTCTTTATAAAATAAATACTATAATTTTTTTGTTCTATATTCTATATTTTTCTACATCTGTTATGTTTTCAAACATGATCTCAGAACTGTAAATGTGATCTTTGTAAATCAATGATTCCCAATTATTAGTAATTACAAATCTTTTCTCTTTTAAATAAATATGTTAAATAATTTAAAAAATATTAAAAAATATAATTAAAAGTTGATTATATTGTACAACTTTTATTATCATTCATAAATATATGCAATTATTATTTTGAGATTCATAATATAATTATAATTATTTAATTATTGTTTATTTTTATAGTTTATTATACTTATTTCATATAATATATAATTTTCTAAAGTTTATATTTATAAAATTAATGATTATTGGGAATCATAATTAATTTAATTACTTCATAATGTACTTAATGTATTTAATGTATTTTATAAATTACAAGAAAAATGAAAAATAATTATTTTCAAATATTAAATACATAATATAAAATATATTCTTAATTAATGAATCAATAAAATCTATATTGCATATATGAAATAACATATGTAAATGTTAATAAATGTTATACATAACTTGAATAAGTTGTAAATTGAGTTTTTATTAAATATCTCAAATTTTATTATAATATTTATATGCACCAATCATTTTTTAAATAAAATACTTATTTAATATTACATAAATTTTATTTCTGTAAATAATCAAATCAATTAAAATATAAAAATCATAGTAATTTTGAATTCATTATAATTGATAATGCAGTTTATTTTATATATAAAATTATTTTAAATATATCTGCAAAAAATAACTGAATATACAATAATATATATAACAAATAAATTATAATTGTAAAAATCATGAAAAAAATAAATTTGGCAGATTTATCTAATTATTAATTTAATTATTAAAAAATATAAATTTCGGATTCCTAAGATATCTTGTGACTTTATGAAATATTTGTTTCAAGAAATGAAATTATATAAATAATAATATAGTTATAATTAAAACAATTATAACAATTATAACAATTAAATATATTTAATATAACTTACTATTTTATTTAATAATAACTATACATTAATATCCCCTATTTTTATTTTTTTTATTTATACCCCAATTGTTTAATAGAAATAAAATTATGAATTTAAAAAATTTTATTTTGCATCTTTTTATTTTAATTTTTAACAGTATAATGATACAATATAATTTTGAAATATAATTATTATATAATTATTATTATACTATTATTATACATTTACATATATATGATATTTTTATATAGCTTTTTAATACTACAATCTTAATAAAATTTTAATATTGTTTTTTAACGCAATTTACTGTTATAACTAAATCAATTTTTTATCTTAATTATCATTATTATATATTTTCATTGATATGTCAGTATATATAACCTTAAATTTTCCCAAATTTTATATACTTATTATTTTAAATATTTATATATTATTTAATTTATTACATTTATAATACTTATATTAAAAGGTAGTGAATAAACCAATTTCTTTAGAAAAATGTTAACTACATTATATTTTTTCTTTTATCGCAATGTTAAAACATAAATTTATATAAATTATAAATTTACAATCATAGTCACAATATTAGCAAAAATTACCAATTTTAATACAATGTTTGAATCTAAAATAAGTTGAAAACATTAAATTATTGATATTAATTTTAAATTTATTATGATTTTATTGATAATATTAATATGTGATACCACTATAATAATACTATTAAAAATATTTAATATCATTAATTTTCATGTGAAATTTATTTTAATTATAATAATAAGTCATAAATCAGAATTTAATAAAAATTTAATTTTTAAATAATTCTTTTTAAATCTTATAATATTAATATATTATATATAATTTTATTAATATATTAATTATTCAATTTGAAATAATAATTATTTTATATGTATTTCTCTAGAAATTATTTTTATAGTATTTAAAAAAAAAAAGAATAAAAAGAAATGAAAAAAAATAGATTTTTTTGAATGTTTGATTTTTTAGATCAAAATTTCATTCATTTTTAAAATAAAATACTTCATTTTTTTATTTACTATTTTATTTATTTTCATTATAAATGTTCATTATAAATGTTATATAAGTTTAAAATAAATTTTCTTAAAATTTTAGTACTACAGAATTTTCATTTTATAGTTATTTTATGATTCTCTTTAAATTTCTTCTTAAAAATACGTTAGGGTTTTTTATTTTATAGTTACTTAGGTAGCTATGGGCGACAAAATATGTTTAGCGTAAACAAATTAATTTTTTGAGGAGATTTGGATTATTTTCTGGAAATCAATTGCATGTCATACTTCTTATTAGTACATATCGACAATATGACATCTCTAGATTTAAGACAACAGAAACTCGAACAACAGGTATATGCATAATAACTTTAAATGATTTTGTATTTTAAAATTTAAATTGTAGTTGCGCATTTTATATTTGTATATTAAAAAAAATATTATTAAATTATATATTGTTTCTTGAATAACAAATATACATAATTTTATAATTTTTTTACGATTTGAAATTAAATTATAATTATGTATATATATATACATAGAAAAATAAAAAATAGGTCATTTAAATATTTATAAATATTTTCAAAGTAGTTATAAAAAAATATTCTTTTTACTGGAAAATGTACTTTTTTGTATAAATATTGTAAATATAGATTTAAAGAAATTTAATACAAATTTTAGAGTATAAATTTTAAAAATTAATATTATTAAAAAATTAAAAAATTTTATCTTACATTAAAGTTTTAAAAAGATAATATATTTACATTTTTACAAGAAATACAATAATATATATAGAATTATATTGAAACTCAAATTGCTTTATGTTGTACTTAAAATTAATTTTTTTTAATCAATTATAGAGACAATTAATTGCACAAAAAAATGAAACAAAAACGACAAAGTGGTGCTGGTGGAATGGTACAAGCATCTAATATATCGAGCACTCAACTTACAAGTCATTCTACAAAATGGATGAATCCACATAAAGAGCTTCGAGGTATGTTTAATAATTTAAAAAAACTATATAGACTGAAAATATATATAAAAAAATTGTATTTGTTTTAGGATATGATGGACCGTTACAGTTTAATATATCACAAACAAATACAGATTTAAATACATTTATAGAGAATAAGGATGTGGAAGCAAGAATTAATGGTTATAATATATTAATCAACTGCTTAATTTTAAGTATTAAATAATATATAAAAATGTTGCATTTTTGTTATAGAAGTTAGCACAGAAGGAAATTTTTATCAAGCTATGGAAGCTGCTGATTGTGCAGATGAAGAATCATCACCTATAGATATACATTCACCTTCGGAATCTTTACCATGTCCTTCACCTCTTAGAGTAGCACCTTCAGATGGTTCTAGTACACTTATCAGTAGAGAAAACAATTCTTCAGTAAGTCTTTTTTTGAAAAAAATAATTAAATAAACAAAATAATTTATATAGTAATAAATTTTTAAAATTTATTTTAAAAATACAAATATTTAACAGTAACTTAGATGATAGAATTTAAAAAATAATTTTCAATAAATTATATTTAATAAGTTTAAATAAATTAACAATTAATGTTTTAAAAATTGGAATATATATTTATTTAGAGTCCAGAATTAGAGGGAAATGTGGAAGGAAATATAGAACATTTTGTATTACAACCAGCAAATAAAAAAATGCATTATAAATGTAGAATAACACGAGATAGAAAAGGTATGGATCGTGGTCTTTATCCAACCTATTTTTTACATTTAGAACGTGATTATGGAAAAAAGGTATGTAATTTCATAAAGAAAGTCTATTACAAATAAAATGAAAATAATATTCTTTTTTACTTATTTTTTATTTTATTTTTATAGATTTTCTTATTGGCTGGACGTAAAAGAAAAAAAAGTACAACAAGTAACTATTTAATTTCTACTGATCCTACTGATCTTTCAAGAGCAGGCGAATCTTATATTGGAAAATTAAGATCGAATCTTCTGGGAACACAGTTTACTGTATATGATAATGGATATTCATTAATAAAAGATGACAAAAGAGACGATCGTTTTAATCCGAGACAAGAGTTAGCTGCAGTGATATACGATACTAACGTTTTAGGATTTAAAGGACCACGTAAAATGACTGTCATTATTCCGGGAATGACATCGGATCAAAAAAGAGTTGAAATTTGTCCACGAGATGAATCTGAAACATTACTTGGTATTTTTAAACTATTATTTCAATATAAATATTATTAAAACTATATTTGTATTTTTTTTCACAGAACGATGGAAAACAAAAAATATGGATAATTTAATAGAATTACATAATAAAACTCCTGTATGGAACGACGATACGCAGTCATATGTACTTAATTTTCATGGACGCGTGACACAAGCTTCTGTGAAAAATTTTCAAGTTGTACATGATAGTGATGGTTTGTATTTCATATTTTTTAGTTAAAAAGATATTTAGTTTTTTAAGTATTTACATTCTTTTTATAAAATATAATAATATATTCTTTATGAATTAAGATGCAATTTAAAAATATTATATCTTATAATTTTTTTTAATATATTTCTTATAAAATTTAAATTTACATTTAAAGACTATCTTATTTTAACTAATAAAAAAATTAAAAAGTGCTAATTTAAATTACTAGTTATTTAATATTATATAATATTAAATAATATAATATTATATAATATTATATTATAATATAAATAATATAATAATATAATATTATATAATATTATATAATTTGAATAATAATATTCAATTTCTGTCATTTTTTGAAAAACTTTTAATTTTTTGAAAGCTGAAACAATAATAATATTTATAATTAGTTAAAATATGAAAAAATTATATAGAATTTGAATTCTTGGTTAAATAATTTTTTTTATGCATCAACATACAATTTAAAAGTAGTGATTTAGAATATTTTTTCATAAAAATAAAGTATCAAATTTCGAAAATTATTTTATAATTTTCTTTGTGTTTTAGTTGATTATGTTGTTATGCAATTTGGCCGCGTTGCAGAGGATGTTTTTACAATGGATTACAGGTTTCCATTATGTACACTTCAAGCATTCGCTATTGCTTTAAGTAGCTTTGATAGTAAATTAGCTTGTGAATAATATAATTGAATATAAAAATAATCATACATCTATAAATGATAAACTACATTAGAAGAATTTGCAATGGACAATCAATTGCAATGATGTTTTTTTACAAACATATCCGTAACTATTTTATTAAAATGTTCTGACTAAGAATAATCAGTATAAATCATGTGTTCATTTTTCTTATATGGAAAATGTTTTTAAATACTAAATATATATTTCACAATTGATGTATTATGCAAACATTAAGATAACAAACTAAGATACTACAGATATATTGTATCGTTGTTAATCTTAATATATTGTATTATAATATGCATTTCAATATGCATATTTTACATTCATATTTTACCGTTAATAATATTTAATGAAATAATATTTAATGAATTATTATTTGAAAAAAAAACTGAATTCTTCATTTATATATTCATTTCCTTAATTAATACTTGAAATATTACAAACTGTGTTTGTGCAATCAAATACTTGGTTTTTACAAGATATTTACATTACATGTTAATATTATCATGAATATTTTTACAAAAATGATTTTTTATATGCTCAAAATCAACATATTAATATAATACTGATATTAATACTGCACAACTTACTGCCTATGATACAGATGATAAAAAATTTTCATATCAAAATTATGTACAGAGTATATAAATGTTAAATTATTTTTATGCTATGTATCTTTGTATGAAGAACAAAGATATCAAGCATATTCTATTATTAATTAAATTATAATGGAAAAAATTATATAAATTTGATATAATTTTGAAAATTAAAATGAAAGAGAATATTTGTCTATAAGTTTTTCTAGATTTGTCATTAAAAATTTAGATAATCACTTAATTATATATAATTTATTACTTTTATATAAAAATATTTTTTCTTATGCAATAATCTCACAATTTACAATGATATTTTTATTTACACGAAAATATATTATGCATAGCTTTCATTAAATAATATAGCATTTCACAGTTTGAAGAATTTTTTTTTAATATTTAGGTATATTAATAAAATATGTTATTATTAAATTACTATAAATATTATCTTTGTATAATATTGTATTAATTATTATTTAAACATGTTACTTAAAATATGTATCAAATATTTATTTGATATATGTTTTGTTATTTGAAACATTTATTTTATTATTAATATAAAATTTTTTATATTTATAAAAATACCAAAGATATAATGATAATATTCATTCTCAATGTAAAATAAATGAAATTAAAATATTGACGAAAATATTTTAATACTATTCATTTATGTAATATTAATTGTACAATAGAAAATTACAAAAGACAGATTACAAATTTTAATTTTATTAATTAATTAATTCTATTTTCTTCTTTTCAAATTCCCATTTGTAAGAATTTAAATCATGAAAATTTTTTAAATAAATTTCATTAAAATAAATAATTAATTTTACTGTATATTTTATAAGAAAAATATAATGTTTTCGTCAAAAATACAAATATTATATAATGACATATACCAAGCATACACAGAAAATAAAATTTATTATTTAAAAATTTGTAAAATCATTAGTATATATTATAAATGTATACACATAATATTAAATATTTATATATAAAGTAATATAAGATAAAATAATAAAAAATTGCAATAAATTGTAATCCATTATAGAAATGTTGGAAATTTATAGCTTTATAAATTTTATACATCTTAAATTTCATTTGTAATAAAATATATAAAATATATAATATATAAAATAAATATATGTTTTATCAAAGAAAAATATTTCTTTTAAAACAATTTTTTTTTAAGAAAAACAAAATCAATTTAAAATAATTTAAAAATACTTTAAATTTTTTAAATAATATTAATATTATTTAGAAAGCTAATTGAACATTTTAAAATATTTGATTAATTTTTTTTATTTATTTCTTACATTTCTTTGATGATGTAAATATCAAATGTTATTTAAGATGTATTAATTTAATCAAATGTATTAATATAATTTAATTATGTGTGTTCGCGTGTATGAATTAAAAAATAAAATCTGTAAAATTAGCTTATCGCATTTAATATTGTAAGTTAAAGTGTTCAATGGATTGAATTAAATTTTCACTAATCACTAAGAATAAATATAAATTGCAACTTTTTATGGTTTTCAGATCTTTATGTGAAATAAATCATAATATATATTAATAAATATATTTAAAAAAATTTATACGTACAATTTTCATTTAATAATAATTAATATAATAAAAATAATTTTTTGATTCTTTAAAAAATATTAAGAAATTATATTTTTGGTATGGAATAGAAAATAGTTAATATGAAATATTTATTACTATAAAATTTTTATTAGTATTATCTTCAATACAAAAACATCACATGAAATTTTTACATAAATACTGAACAATAAAATTAATGAGCAAATATTTAGATACCTTAATTTGCACATTAAATACTCCAAAAAAATTTTTTTGTATTGAAATACAATAAAGGCACTTAAGGTCTAAAATTTAAAAACATAAAAAGAATATAATACGACTATCATTCTTTTGTTTGTTATTTACATTAATACATATTTTTAATTTTTTCCGTGGATTTTTTTAATGAAAAAAAGAATGATAAAAAAATACTATTCAAAAATCTATATTTTTCATTTTCATATTATTCATATATTTCATTAAATATGTTATTATTTTTTACCAGTTTTATCTTTTTGTTTGTCATTTTAAAATATATCTAAACTTGTGTCATATAAAACTAGATCTTTTAATTTTTTCTTCTATTTCTATAAATTCAATTCTCATTTATCAGTTATATAAAATTGCTGAATTAATTTCACATTATTATATTAAGAATTAATATTTTAAAATACGATCAAATATATTTTGTATTATATTCCATGAAATAACTATAAATTCATTTTTGTATTGTTAGAAATTCAAACATAATGCAATAAGCGCAACGATTTACCATAAAATATGTAGCATTAAAATTTATTGACAAATAGATAAGTTGCAACTACGTATAATTCTAAAATTTATATTAATGAATTATTTATTATTCCTCTTACTATTACTACTTCGAGCAAAGAATTACAGAAGAGGAATATTAAATAGAGCATCAAGTATAAGAGTATTAATATAAATCGTTCACAAACTTGATTAGAAACTTGATAAGAAACTTAAAATATTTCGACATAAAATAGTCTCGTTCATAAATATAGAATATCTTTAAAGAGTCAATAATATTGCATAGTCTTTTCTAAAATTGAATTTTTTGAAAATATCAGAAATTGTTTCATTTTCTAATGTCTATTCATTTGTAAATTCTTAAGACTGTATAATGGAACCCTTTACAGATATTCTAATTATAAATATTATTTCTTTAGCAATTTATTTTTACAAAGTTTTGATATTTAATATATTTATCATAGTATATTATTTCATTAACATTAAAATATTATTTTGAAATTATTGAAATCCAAAATATACTTATTTTTTCTTTTTTTTTTTTGAAAATGTATTTTTTGTAAACACATTTGTATAATGTTTTCGTAAACACATGTGTTTTAATATTTTTAAATTTTTTGGTTTAATGCATTAAATGATATTTTGGGACGGAAATGAAATACACAAAGTATACAATAAATAATTACTTATTGTATACATTATTTAGTAAGCTCCATAATAAAACAAAAAGTTACATGAAATATTTATTTCATTCAAAATTACATATACAAAATATCATTTTAGAATATTTAATTTAAAACAAAAAAAAAAAAAGAAAAATATTTAATTGAAAATAATAATCTATTCAAAAAAGAGCTTACTATATATTTTAAATACAATTAATACATTTCAATATAGATATTTTAATTTCTCATTTTTATTATTTATTATAGATTAATAAATTTATTTATTATGAATTATATTTTCTAATTTCAAATCAATTACATATTTTATTATTTAATGAAAGGCTATTTAGAATGTATCAAAAGACACTTTAGCTTGAAATATTTTATATACAAATTCAATACGTACAATTTAAATTTTTAATTGTCAACATACAAAATGTAGTGTAATATATAAATAAGATTATTAGAAATTTACAGTTTATAGCATATAGATTATATACTATGATATGCGAACAATTTTTGCAATTAATTTTTAATAATTATAACTTAGAGAAAGATAAAATATAAATAAAATTATAAAAGCATTCTACTAATTTTTCACTATATTTAAAAACATTTTTTTTCCAGAATATAGGAGCTAATACAAAATTATCATTAAAAATATAGTTATTGCAAATCAGCAAGAAATTATATTTAAGAATATCAAAAATATACAAAAATATTGCATAGATTTAATGATATACCATAAATTACTGTATGTCCAATTAATTTAGAATATACATCACTTATGTATTTTAAATGAATGTAGTATTATATCAGTACTACAAATAAGATGAGATGATTCTAATTTTAAATATTATTATAAAAGTATGTTATATATGATTAAATTTTAAATCTTGATAATATATTTCTATAAAAAAAATTATATTTTTACTTAATATAAATTTCATATTTTTTATATGTTTTATTTCATTAATAATTTTTTTGTTCAATTTTTTTTTTTTTAATGGAATTTGAATTCATTTCTATGATATTTATATAAAATAAATTTATTTTTAAATATTTTTTTACTCTTAAATATTTTTTGTATCAATCTATTTTCATTGATATTTTTGGCAGTAATTTTATAAAAATGTCAATATAGAAAATGTTTTTTATAGTTATATAGATAATTTTATTGGTATATTATTAATCATGCAAATATAATATACATCATATGTATATATATATATATATATTTTTTTTCTTGTTGATGTGCAATTTTATTCATATTAACAATATTTTATAAAAATTATTTTTATATTTTTACACATGTAATGGGGACTATCTCATGTTGCAATTCACATTCATTATATTATTGCATTTTTGCAATAGATAAAAATCATTAATTCAAATTGAAATGTAAGCACTTTATAAATAATTATTGAAGAAATAAAAGTTTGGAAAAGTAATTTTTGGTTTAAAAGATCGCAGTTTTAAGCAAAGTAATTTAAATAAAATCAAATTAGTAAATAATTAAAAACTATCATAAAATAATATAATTTAAATAATTTTTCAATATTAAAAATTTTAATTAATCTGTTCATTAATCAAACTATTCATGACAAAAAAATTTAATTTTTAATTATCACTGTTTTAAAAAAATAAATAGGTATTAAAATAAAAACAAAAATAATAAGGTTGAGAATATGACATAAATTCAATTTTAATTTATTATTCTTGAAAATATATTAATACTGAATTTTATTATATTTGGAAGAATCCTCCCTTTAAGATCATAACTTAAAACGTCTTTTATACATATTATAATATTGATTACAATATGAATATGCATTTTTAAATATTACTAATTTAATATATATTCATATATTGTAATGTGAATATAAATTAAATTAGAAATATTATTTAAAAATGCATACTTTGATTATGAATATTCTTTATAATTTTACATATCTCCTTTTTTTATATCACCTGGGATATTCTTTATAGTTGACCTGCCAAATCTAGGTCCTGGTATACGCGATGGTGGTCTGGGAATAGCACTTGTAAGATTTGAAGATCTATTCCCAGTTTTCCAATTCATTGGTGGTCGCAGTCTTGTTTTGTTTTCAACAATTGGTTTATTAAAAGCCTATACAATATCATAATATATATTAACAAATAATTTTAAAATATATTTATGAATAAAATTTATATACATAAAATAAATAATGAACTCACTTCAACTTTCTTTATTATATCCGCTTCATTTGATTGTTTTAATACAGTTTCCGTAGGATGACCTTAAAAAATAAATTGAACGATTTTTATATAATAATGCATGTAATGATAATTAATTTAAGTAAAAATAATAATTATTACATTACAAGTTCTTAAATTTTAAAAATATATATTTTATAATAGAAAATGAAATACTTCTATTTAATTTTTATATAATTCA